TACAATAATTTAATTTTAATATAATTTACACACTTTCATTAATTTTGTAGTGTGGAATCTTAACCAATGGGTTACATACAGGGGTTAGACAATGAAATTGAAACACCTGGTTTTAGACCATAACATCCCTTTCAGACAGCTTCCTCTTGCATCCACAGTTAATCCTGTTGGATGTGGTTCATCCTTCTTGGTGGTATGCTGACATTACCCTGGAYACCGTGGCTCTTGATACACCACAAAGACTTGCTGTCTTGGTCACAGATGCTCCAGCAAGACGTGCACCAACAATTTGTCCTGTTTTGAACTCTGGTGTGCCACCCATAAAGTTGTGTGCATTGCAATATTTTGAGAAAAAAATGTGCTCTTACCCTGCTAATTGAACCTTCACACTCTGCTCTTACTGGAGCAATGTGCAATTAATGAAGATTGGTCACCAGACTGGTCTAATTTAGCCATGAAACCTCCCACACTAAAATGACAGGTGTTTCACTTTCATTGTCTAACACCTGTAAATCTTTAACTTAAACCTAAGAATATTTTATAATTAAATAAAATAAATAAAAAAGGAGTGCTTTTATTGGAGATTTGGCCATATAATCCAATGTTAAATTTTGACTAATATCAGACCGATATCTGATAGTAATATCAGCTCAGGACACCTCTAGAAATATCCACAATGTATAATGTTGCAGTTGTTGATAGGGTTGGGCAATATTGGCAAAAAAATAAATCACGATTAATTGTGKTATTTAGCCGATAATGATTAATTTGACGATTAATCCCCTGGAGTCCCTGGACACCCTTATTTCAAAGTCACTTGACCAATTTAGTGGGAAAGATTTGCTCTTCATAAAAATCTGTTCCAAATTGTGTCAAAATTACAGACTTCAGGTTATACATCAAATTTTAAATTATGTTGATAGATAAATAAATTACAGAACATTTTTTTAATGTTCGTTATATATGAAGCGGAGGAGAGAAGTGAGTGGACTCTGTCTGTTGGCATTAATCATATTAATTGTCAAGTGCCAAAAATTAATCGATTAATGTTTTTCTGACGATTAATTGCACACGATACTATTATGCCCAACCCTAGYTGTTGAGTCAGAATGAAACAGCTGAAATACAAGTAGATAAGAACACTGTTTAGACTAAGTGTATTTCAGTGAACAGAAAGTAGGCATGAATATATCTTGAGCTCTAGACCACAAAGCATTGCAAAAAACTGTCTGAGTTTGAGCACCATTATTTAAAAAAAATGTGTTTAAATAATAAGAAAAGTGCACAACTAAAAACCAATCTGGGGTAATTCTAAAGGGGCCACCACTTGGTACGCCAGCATAATCTTGAAAATACTGCATTTAAAAGTGAGCCACATTAATGTTACTATCTTGAATTTATGATTGGCATTAAAGATGTTTTGGGGATTTCTCTTGGCTACTACCACACTGAAACATTACTTATAATTTAGCTTCAGCAGAAGGTGGGGTGAAGGTTTGGCTGCTCTCCAGTTAACATGTTATGTGCCAACAAGGGTACGGCTGCGTTTCACTCTACTACAGCATATGATGCCGAGTGGCAAGTGGGTGGAGTTATACACAATTTAAATGGGTTTACTAAACATTAGAGTCCTCCTTTGCGGCTCGTCATYACTTCTTGCCAGTCGGTATGTACGTCAGCTGACTGGTAAGGAACAGATCCAGAACCTGCAGGATTTTAATTCACGTATTTACATTCAGATCTTTACTCAGTAACAGATCGGATTTTAAATGTAAAGAAGTACAATACTTGAAATTAAATACTCAAGTAAAAGTACATCTTGGATTAATTACTTAAAAAAGACGAAGTACAAAAACTGAATTTTCCGTTATGGTAACCTGAGTTAGGTTCTGTAAACACTTAGGGTCGCAGTAAATACCCACATTTGACCCACAGGTCATGTTTTATAATGCAGAGCAGACAAAGCAGCAAATACAGTAAATGCTGAGGTGCAAGTGGGAAGGAGTCAGCCTGACTGTCAGCACTGTGCTTTAATTACTGTCTACATCCCTTCAGTGAGTGTTACCGCCTGACATTCATCCCTGCCACAGCTGCAAGGAATCCTCTTCTTCACAAGCACATTTATCACTTTTTATATACACCCAGTAATCCCTGCAATACATCAAGAGTATGCTGTAATCCAAGCTGAAAAGCCGCCTTAATAGTGTCATTACTTAGCACAGACATGCTAAAATTGTTTCACACCATTCACTTGGAACGTCCACGGTGAACTATGCTGCTTTTGTTTCCACTCAGCTGAATTTGCTTTCACTAATTTGAAGATCTGACAGCATGCACGCACGCCACTGTCACAATTGTTTCAATTTAAAGACAAAACAGTGGGTTTAAATACTAAAAAAGTGTCTTAAGAGACCAGAGGAAAAYGTTTTCTACAGGTTCTACGAACATCAGGACAATGTGCAGATTAATGAACAACTTTAGCCAYTCCTATTGGGAACGAGGTATGGGCTTTTAGTCTAATAATCAACCAGACTTTCAGCAGCATGGCTATAAACTTCAAATTATTCACTGTTTGACAAAGATACAGAAAACAAGAATCACAACTTGAGCTACAGATTAGATCTGCGAGTTCTTCAAAGTTGAACAACGGTCTTCAGCAGTAATGTTGTGAGTGAAAACAGAACCCTGCTCGCTGCTTGTAGTGTAAGCAACGTCATCAAGGACCATCAAGGACCATCAAGGACCATCAAGGACCACGGAACAAAAATGTTAAAACTTGATACTTATTTAAATACAGAGATAAACTAAAGATGTTACCTGATCACTGGCTGCTACTGACATTTTTGTGTTGCTAAGGTCAGTCAGCTGGGTCGGCCATCTTGAATCTGGCTGACTCGAAAAGTTAATAAGTTATAGATGTCTAATTAATACTTTGTGTGTTTTATTAAAATTTTTGAGTGGTTGCTAACCGACAAATAGTTAATGTCAAAGATTTTTTTTATTGTTGGAGTACGTGTTGGAAATGATTTGCAGCGAAAACAAAAGAAATTCACATCAGTATTTAGATAGATTTTCGTTTGCCAAGGTCGCATAGCTGTGGCGGCCATCTTGAATGGGGTTGACTCCAAAAGGTCAACTGGTTATCCATCYAGTGATTACTTTTTAAGGGGTGTATTAAAATCCATCCTGTGGTTCATGAGATGTTTTGCTAGCAGACAAACAAATACAGAGACATGAAAAAAAAACATCACTGCTGTCAGGTAAGAATTAATCAAATCACTCAGGGAAATAAAGGTCACAATGACCTAGTGCTTCACTGTCTTAGTTAATCTGTAAAACTTACATTTATTCCTGTCAGGAACATAATTTAGACACACACACGTGGTTTTAAACCACATCCCAAAAAGCTTGTGGTGTTGTTTTAACCAGACCCTGTCTTTTCTGACACTGAACACCTGTGTGACCTTCCTGTGCTCACAGTTGACATTGTAACCCACCACGTGACGTGTCAAAGGTGTAACACCTGCAACCATTACGTGATGGAACCAGGTGACTGGATAAATGAACAAACATAAACAGTAACCAGGAGAGATTTCAATCTTGGAAATCAACACATGGTTGTGCACCCTTTTTTTAAACCCCACCACTGCTTCGTACATTTTGTTTTTATTCATCATATTAAAAGCAGTACATTCTGTTATAACTCTGTCATTAAAAGCGATAATAAAACAAGCACCCGTTTTTAATGTTCTAAATACAAATTAATTGTGTTTTTAAAAGCAGACATTTTTCAGGAATAAGATATCAGTGTAGTAACTCATGATGATTTGCGTTTAAGCCTGTTTTAATGCAAAGCTTCGTGACAGGCCTCGTTTCATTTTACCTGCCTGCGTTACAACTTCTTGTCTCTACTTTGGTGCTATAACGTTACAGAAAAAGAGAGCTGTGCCCGTGTTTAACGACCTGAGAAAATGAGGAAAAGCTGTTTCCCGTGAAAACACGGAGGTTTTGTCGCATCTCTGTCAGAAGAACAGCGATGATGAACTTAATTCAACTGAACCAGTTTCCCTTCAAAACTAACCACGAGCTCGTTTAGCTAACCTCTACTCGCTTTAACGGTGTTTTTTTTTTATTCGTATGTATAGAGTTTGTTGTAGCGTTTTGCTACGTTTAACTTGAAAATAAAAACTGGACAGCAACTGAACAGGTTGGAGAGATTCAGTGAGCTGAGGTAATCTGTGGCATCGAGCATTCTGATCTGAGTGGTAATCGTAATGTTCCGGAGTAAACACGACCGTCAGACTTACCTTTGGTGACTTAAGTTTTTCTTAGGTGTCGGATATTCCTTTGCTGGATAAATAGTTGAATACAACGGGTTAAATGTAAATATTTTTTGTAAAACTGCCTCTGCGTCCCGCTTCCTCTGTCAGCCTATATTCCTGTGTGGCTGTGGGCGGAGTTTCAAGACGCTGCGGAGGAAGACACCACCGAACAGCCAATGAGAGGAGGCGGTTCCAAAGATGGGTAAAAATATCAAGAGCACTCACGCTGCCCTAACTCTTTCTACTCTAAATAAAAAAGTTAGATATTCCTACTATCTAAATTAGTTTACGGTTTCCATCTTTATTCCGTTTTGCCTTAAGTTAAAATAAAACGTCGTATGTCAAAAAAATAAAATAAAAAAATCTTGCCGTATTAGATTTTCAAACAACACTGTCAGGTTTTTTTTTTAACATAGTTGAAAATTAAATTCCTGCCAATTCAATTTTTGGAGATTAACCAAAGACGAGCCATATCAAGTTTCTATTTTCAATCTGATTACGTAACCTAACAAAATCAGTTAAGCCACACACAAAAAAAGACTGCATGTACCCCCACAAACAAACCAAGAATGTTGCTACCTTCATCTTCTGCATACAAACACAAAAATGATTCCTTTTTTAATACTTAAAATATAAGAATCCTGATGAGAAAATACACAAAAAAAATGTTGACAGCGATTAATAACAATGATAGTTTATTTATGTACCAGGAAATCTGTTTTGCATTGTTTTGGACATTTTTCCCTGCTTCTAGAACAAACGTTTACAGTACAGTAGCATACAATATCTGCATTTGGACAACTTTGTCAATTCAGTACTCGTTTTTGAATGACAATTTTTAAGCAACCAAAACACAGTAAGTGAAGAGATGAAAACAGAAAAATAAACAAATTATAAGTTGACATGTTTTCTAAGTAATATTTTGACAAAATGCTAGGTTATTAAGAATCCACATAACAGTTCTCAGCAAATTATACAATAAATGCTATAAAAACAAGAAATAAAGTGACTGACAAAAGTCATATGATCAGTACACAGATGAAATGAAGGAAAAAAAGTTTTTTTTTCTTAAGACAAAACAGAAAGTTAGATGTGAGACGAAGAGCTTCACAGTGTAATTGGAAACACGATCATTTAAAGACTGGTTGATTAGCAATGTTACTGAATGTATTCAAGTTACCAACTGTCTACATTACAGCCAGAGTTTTAACACAATATGAGAAAACAGGTGAACACAAAAAAAAAAAAATGCACAAAAGAAAAGACCATTTCAAAATGCGTTCAAAACACTATTGCAAAGAGCGTTGGTTCAGGTACTCGACTGCAATGTGAAAATAAAGCTCTGCGTGTAAAGCACTGTGCACTGAGAAAGACAGGGCAACATTAAGCAGTAGTTTGGACAAAAGGCATTCATAAGGTTTAGAGTTGCATGGGAGCCACATCAAGTGTAATCTGGTTGCAAGGATTTTCTCCTGCATTTTACGTTTTTTTTCTGTCATTTCATCCTGATTAAATGCTCACTTTAAGTACATACCCATATAAATATTCAAATATGAGACAGGATGGCTGCAGCATTAGATTCCACCCCACAGAGGAGAAACTAAAGGAGGTCAGATTAGCATTACTTGCATTGACACGCATCTCTTCCACTGTTCTGCTGCAGCTAGCTGTGTGGTGCCTGAAGCTGCTGCTGATCTCTGGCGCCCTCACGTGGAGCTGTACAGAGCGATCTGCTGCACCTTTCCCAGCTGTGACAGCAGCCGTTTCATGCGTTGTTTGAGCTGAGGGAGACGAGCCAGAGGTTCAGGAGGCTCCAACTCTCCGGTGTAGTCCAGCCAGCTCTCCAGCACTGAAAAGGACAACAAAGACCAGAGGTGAGGGCTTGCTTACGTACAACAAGATACACTTTGGGAATTTCATTTGTCTTACCGTCCAACTCTCTTTCAATGAAATCCATCCGGTGCGATACCTCGTCCTGGACAACATCAATGTGATCCAGAAGRTTGTTCTGCCACTGCAGATACTGTCTGTTGTCTCCAGTGTCTTTCCCTCCTTCTTCCCTTTTCTCTGCCTGAGACCACGATAGACCCAAGGAAGCCTGAAGACATTCAGAAAAACAACCATTTACTTTAAAAAACACTTCAAATGTTATTCTCACAACTCTTTCAGGTTAAATCAATATATATTACTTTCGAGCAGAAAAATTTTTTTTGGTAGAGATGGACAATGAAATATATTTTAGATACATTATATTGCGCACATAGAAGACCAAATTTACTTTTAAATGCCAAAAATCAACTTTAAACAGTAATATGTGCTGGCTCTTTAAATGTATAATTTGGAACAGAGTAACTATCATTGTGTTGTAGTGATATGTTGCCGTAAYACCATTTTTTCTTTGCAGAACCCTGAAAAATAAATGTCTGTCATAATTAAAACCATAACAAGTTAACTTTTTTCAATAGTGTTTAAGGCAATTTAGTTTCTATGCAAATTGTTGATCTTCAGCTTATGATCAATAGTTTTTAAACAGATGAAACATTTCTCTAAGCGTTTTCCAAAGGGGAAAATAAACTTGGACACGGTAATGTTGCTGTCCACTCTTCACCAGGTAGGAAAATTAAAAGACTTTTTAATGACATTGTGAAATTAAATTTAAGACCAATTTCATAATAAACACAAATGACTAAAAAATAAAAACTGGCAGAAACTCATGAATCAAAGTATCTTTAACTATAGTAGAAACGTTTTTAGCAGTCAGTTTTAAACTTAATTTAATTTCTGGAAATCCTCCAACAGCCTAAAATTTGGAGTTTTTAGGACCCACAGTGGGGTCTTAAATGCTATTAGCTGTAGATGAAACCTTAAGGCACCTGTGACATCAATTTTTTGTAAGAAAGGTGAACGCATTTTTGGAAAGACRACATTAACRTRTTACAAAACAAATTTCACATTGCTCAGAYGRACAGTTGTTGAGATATTTGCATGTGAAMTAACAGGAAGTGATGACAAAGGGGAATGTCTGCATGTGGAWATTAAAATAATTTTYACCAATTATTTTAATATTTGAGCTGAATTACAATCATCCTATTTACAATGTTTTAACATTTTTAAGACTTTTGAAAGATTGATTGAAGACATTTTAAGGTTAATTAAGGTCTTATTTTTGGATTGATGAATTCAATGCCTTTTAAGACTTTTTAAGGATCTGCAGGAAMCCTGAAATCAGTGTTTATGTAAAATATGTCATTGTGATTTTAGTTTTATGTCTGCAAAAATGCATCAAAAATCACTTTAAAATGGTTTCRTATTAAAATCTAAGCCCAAAGAGCCACAAACCTAGCTTTATATGAATCATCAAGTTATGATTATATGAAGACAAGAAAATAAAGAGGGACGTTCCAGTCACTTTGGATTTACTAAGAAATTAAATATCTTTAGAAGTCAAAGAAACAGAGATTAAATTAAGTTTATGTCAGGACTGATGAGCTAACAGCTAGTCTGAATGCAGTTTGAATTTTTCAACATTCAAAGAACTTTGATCTCAAACATTTCAAGCATTTCATAAAATTTTACATTACTATTGATGTCACAATACACAGCTACATATATAATAAGCTGCAGTTACAACTAGCAGCAGAGCCTCTGAAGAAGGCTGGGGTGGACTCCTGAAGGATTTAAATWAMTGAATGCACCATTTTAAAGTTTAAAAGATTGGAGTTTTTTGAAGATATGCTGTGCAAGTGGCTCAGTCAATGCAATCCGTTTTTATCTTTTCTTTTTATAAAAAGCATCAACTCCAACCTTGTCGTTGTTGCCTGATGGTTTAGGTTTGTCCGTCTCCAGCAAGCTTCCGTAGCGCTGCTCGCGTTCCAGCAGCTCCTCTGTGCTCCTCATGCTGTCCTCCAGCTCTGAGCCCTGTCGGGTCTCCACCACCAGCCGCTGCTCTACAGCTGGGTAATACGCCCGCGGCTTCTGATAACAGTGTTCACTGATAATGTACGAGTCTTGGAAGGATGGGAAGGGAGGGGAGGTGCTGGACGAAGAGGAGGTGGCGGCTGTGGCGGCCCGGCTCAACTTCTCCAGCGCGTTGGACATTAAAATCTCTCCTCGGCTCATGTCTTCGTCGGGGGTCGCGGGAGAGGGAGCCGTGTTGCTGCCTCGACACGAGTCGAAGCCGAGATGCGGCTTCTCCAAGTGCTTCCAGGGTTGTCGCCACAGCTGCAGGTCAGAGTGGGTGCTGCTCCTGAAAAATGAAGCGATAAACAGATTAAGTAACAGACATCTTTACCATGTAACTGATATTTACAGGAGCACAGGCCTGCTGGTGGTTTCCATGTACTCACTTTAAGATGCTCATCTTGAGCTGCAGGCCGTTCAGAACCTCCAACACGTGGTGCACGTCTCCCAGTAGCTGGTGGGTGGTGGTGATCTTCTTGGCGTTTTGGTGGGAGTAGTTCTCTTCTAGGAAGGACAGGCCGTACATGTGGCCGTTCGTCAGCCACTCACGGTCATACCAATAACGCAGACTCTGCCTCTGACCTAACAGGAAATAAAATGTCCAACAAGGTTAAAAGTTTAAAAGAAAAACTGGAAGAGGAGCAAMGTACACAATTGAACAGGGGTTCTTTAATGTCATTAAGATATTCATGGTTAATTTGTTTAAACTGGAGCCATCCCAAATCATGATTGTCTCAGAGCATTTGCGTCGCATGGCGTGCGTTCGTTATTGGCAGTTTGTGTGCATATGTATCATCAAATAAAACCAAATAATACACAATATATGGAATTTATAACTTTAAACGTCAAAGTATTCAYACAAACGTATTTATTTCTAGGTGGAGAGATTATAGCAAGTGATAAAACAGAGTTTATAAAATGGGTGTTTATTAACATACCTTTGCTAAACAGTACATACATCTATCATATAAAACATCTCAATGGCAGACACGCAATGAGCTCAATAGCAAATAACTTGATTCTTCATTATATATATATATATATATATATATTTTTATATATATATAATTTTTTAATCATTATATGAACATCATTCTGTTCGCATTGTCGACATTTTCAGCACTTCTTGTAGCGACCCACGGGTCGAACGTTTTCACCCCCCTCCACATAAGAACACAAGAACTTTATTGTGTGATTGGTTAGAAGTTTATGGGAGTGTTTGTTTGTGCTGAAAGTGCTCAGACGCTGCATTTTGCTTCAACCACTCGCTTAAAAAAAAGCGACTTGCTTCCTGTTGTATCAGGAAGCAGCAGTTTATAAAAGAGAGTCAAACAGCCAAAAACTCATTAGAGGATAAAACTGACAATTTTCACGGTGGAATCKGACTGATAAAAACTTTGGAGCTTAATCCAGGACTAGTTTGTGGATAAACATCAACTGACAAGTCTCATGGTGCGTTCACACCGAACGCGATTTCAGCTTCAAAATCGCAGCCAACGCTGAAGTTTGAAGCTTGTGCACTTTGAGGTCAGACGCAGGACAGCTGCGCTGCACGGCGACAGCCTCCCCGCCCCTCCCTCCTCTGKCGGGCTCTGTTTAATGTCGGACGAGGAAGTGGCTTTGCTTTAATTTACAGACAGCCAGAGCGTGTTACGTTCATCAGATAATTAATTCATAATTAATTCACCAGATAATTCAGAGAAGAGGCTCACAGCTGCTTTCAGGACTATTTTTCCAATCTGATGAGTCGCTGCCACGCATTGGAGCGGATCAGGACACGACTGCAGCACTCATTTCAGCTAAAGAGCACCTGTCCGTCTGTTTCAGGTTAGTGGACATCATTCAGTAAACTGTCCCGTCAGGAAATATGTCGCTACGTCACACAGTGGAGTCTCTCTGATTGGTTGACGCTGCACGTCGAGCTGTAAAAGTTCAGATTTTCTAACTTCAGCGATTTGCGCCTCAGCGCGTCGAACGCTCAGATCGTTCAAATCGCGCTGCTCTAATCACGCTTGAGGCGCCGCAGCACTTCCCGACGTTGCTTGAAGCGCGTCCACCATAGACTTTGTATGTAAACCTGCTGCTCCTGACGCTGAAATCGCGTTTGGTGTGAACGCACCATCAGACTTTCTTCCCCACATTGTGGACTTCAGCAGGATTAAATCCCATTCAGTGACGTATGCTGCAGCGGGAGGGGTTTCCCAGGAGCTCGGCACGGGGTGTCTCAGGAGCCAGATCATAATAAATGTCTAGTAGGCCGTAATGGTTCAGAGCGGGTCTCGATATCGTAATGATTACAGTGAGATCGTAATGGTTGGCACCTCTGAGCTTGTGATTTTAGTACAGATTATTTTTAATTTCCACTTTCAGTCCTTTGACGTCAGCAGATCTATTTGAGGATGGTGTGTCTTGGCCTCACCTGGTGGATCTCTGCAGATATAGCAGGTGTATCTGTCTGGTACATTGTCCTCCAGCAGGCCCATGCAGGTGCCGTGCTGCCAGCACAAACACTCTTCACACTGACAAAAAAGGACAAATATGGTTTACASTCCTGTGACTGCAAGGATTTAAAATTAACAAACAGCATCTTGAAACAAAACACGACAAACTCACCTGAATCATGAAGTCGTTGTCTTCCTCCACCTCGCAGATGCATCGCACAATCTCCTGGTCACTGGTGTCTAAGGCGCCAGAGTCTACACTAAGAGGCGGCGTTGTGACGTCCAAATCCATCTCCAAGTCGTCGTCGCTCCATCCACAGCTGTCCGTGGACCAGTCACTGATGCTGTCCTCATCTGCAGCAGCAGGGATGAGCAGAACCATTGCAATGTTTTAAAGGAAAAACTACAACTGACAAGGGTTTGGCTTCTTCCTTGACAAAAATTATGTTTAATGGAAATTCAGCTGAAAGGTGCAAAATGAATTCTGCGCTATTTTCTGAAGCAAGCCACTGCAGTGAAAGAAAAGATCAGGATTCAATAAACCATGGGTTAGATGTTTGGGGGACTACTCCGTGAGCAGCAACATCCGTGCACAAACCAATCAGGCTAAAGAAAATGTGTCATCATGGTGGACTGAATCCAAGAAGAGTAGAAGACAAAAGGAAGCCAGAAACACTCACCCATACACAAAGTAAAGTGCACACACTGTCTTAGATATACCCACCATCAACATGTATCTGCTCTGTGTAGCTGTATCCAGGCCTGCTGGGGTAGGCCTCGGGCTTGTGATTGTGTGAGAGGGGGGATTTGAGTGGCAAATTCAATTTGGAGTGAAGACCCAATACTGAGATGTCAATATTCTCCTCACTACCTGTGTAGTCTGTTAATACAGGGAAGGGGGAGAAGCAGATGTAGAACAAAATTGTCAGCTTTGAAGATGTTAAACAAATGCCCGTTAGGGGGTGACAAAATGTGGCACAGCAAACAGTTTTGGCAATCGATGTAGTTAGAAACACTCAGGGACAACAAATATGGGTCACATTTCAGGCTTTTAAAATGTGTGTCAGTGGGAGGCAGCCTGTATCTGAGGCCAACCACAGATTTATTAACACACAAACAAAGATTTATGTCAGTTCCATATTAGTGCCACAACAAGATCTGGCTTTCTGGTACTAAAAACAAAACATTAAAAGATAATGGAGCTCACTGACTGACAGACTGAAGTGATGAACCAGTGACAAATGTTACATTTCTCCCACACACAAGCTCAGTCACCACACCAGGAGGAGTGAATGAAGGGCTTTATGTTTTGTATGCCAGCAGTCACAGCGAGTGCACAAGCAGAGCAGCAGATGTTTGACCTCGCCCTGTGCCAGCGACATGCTTCTTACCGGACTTGGCCTTCTTTTTCTTCTTCTTCTTCTTTAGTTTAATGCGCAGGAAGTCCTTCTGTTTAGGTTTCTCTCTCAGTTTGTCTTTTACAGAACCTAAGGACCATTAAGTGACACAAGGTGAGCCTCATCTGAGTGTAGCTTATTAAACTACCAAATTTACTGGCCAAGAAAAACTATTATGCAAATAWTTGATATTAAAACTAAGTGAATTAGAAGGACTGTAATCTCTTTCTCACTGAATGAAACACGTTGACATATCATACTGACCAATGTCAAAGCCAGTCTTGTCTGAGTCCTTGTCCTGCAGCTGGCAAATGTTCCTCTCCAGCTGGTTCTCCTTGCTCTTCTCCTTCAGCAGTGCCCTCTGTTGTTGGCCCTGGGTGCTGACTGCAGGTGGAGCTGATGTGCGCCTTCCTACAGTCTTAATGTCACCACGGGCAGCCGCAACAGCTCCAGAGTCTGAAAAATATGAATTAAACAATAAATAAGCAGGTAAAAAAACCATAACCTGAAAATAAAGCAACATCTACAACAGACACTTTGTAATGAGTCATTAAAACATTACTTGTTTCACTGCTGTTGAACAGATTTTTAAATTTGACAACAGGAAACGTATCAGACAACTAAACTAAAAGGTGTCTGCGTGGTCCATACGAACTACTGAAATAGTCTCTCATTGTCACAGCGCAATGACGAAACTCGTGTAATTTTGTTTGCAGCTTTCAGTCTTCTATCCCTACATGTCACAACCCACCAGAACCTTTTACCCCGCCACATTAGAACTTACTGTGTGATTGGTCAGAAGTTTGTGGCTGTGTTTGTTTATACCTAAAGCGCTCAGATGCAATATTTTGCTTCAACTACTCGCTTTCAGAAGCCGACTGTTGTACCCAGAAGCAAAACATGTAAAGATAGTCAAATGGCCAAAAACTCATTGATGATGGAAAAAAAGACRTTTTGCACAGCGTGGAGCTTTAACCGGGACAGATTTGAGGACAGATAATGGCAAATCAGAGATTTTTGTCGTCCCCTCTTTTGTGACTATTGAGCACACGTACATCACAATGACAATGCTCAAATGATATATCGTGCAGCCGTAATCATAGGTATTATTTATGGTTTTATTATGTTAGCTTATAGGGATTGTTTGGGTTTGTAAAATTCACCAACTAACTTGCAGCTTGTTGCAAATGTTTGTTTAAAAGACAGATGTTGGTTCTCTGGTAGACAAGCCATGGCTGACTGTGTTATCCATGAGATAAAATGTCCAACCAAGTCTTTTTTTTTTAAATACAGAAAAATTTATGGGAATTCTTCCCTTGGCCAACTTAACCAACTCAATGATAACTAGGAGCAACAGATTGGACAGGACAAGCACTCACTTGAAGCTCTGTGAGACTGGGGGGCGGGGGGGATAACTTAAATAACCATTCACATCTTGTTAGTTATGTGTACTTTCAGGTCATTTATTTTTCATTTTAAAAACAGATATTGAAAAACAGTTATTTTATTTTCATTTTATACTTAAAACAGGCCATTTTATTTTTACTAAACCAAATGTTTAATGTCGTTATCATGACAACTCAAGAGTGTGGAACCTACTGCGGCCTCAAATTCCTCACCGTGGTCCTCTTGGAGAAATGACATAAGTTACGTGAAGTGAAGCACCAAATTTCCACAAGGCAGCTATGAAAACTGGGACAAACATTTGAGGCACTTTCAGAAGACACCTGATGATGTTACTGACRCCTGTTCTGACCACCTCAGCTCATTCTGAAGACAAACAGGGGTCGATCACTGTAGTGCTGACAGACAGCTAGGGTAATACTGTATACCACAGTATTTCCTAAAGGTTATACCATAGTATGAAAATGATCAATACCACCCAACCCTAGTCTGCAGTTAATTAAAGAAATGCACAAATGGTTAGCTAGAGYTTATTTATCTATTTACAGGCAGTTTTTTAACTAGCTCCACCTTAAACAGCCAGATAATAACAGTGGTAACTTCTGGTTTGAGAAAAAGAAAAGGATGGACTTTTTTATAATGGAAAAAATGAACCATTGTACTTAAAATAAAAAAAACAAATATCCATCCATTTTTCGTTATCCAATATCTGTTTTTAAATCAAAAATCGAATGACCAAAAAGTATACGTACCTAGTTATTAGTGGTTTGACACCTTGCCTTTAAACTCATAGTAAACCTTGAAACAGGTTGTAACAGCTGACAATTTATTGGGCAACTTGTCTGCAGTCATTTCTGAACCAAAGTAAAACAGGAAGAGAACTCACGCATAGTGGCAGAGACGGTGCGTCTTCTCTTTGTGCCATCCAAGCCWGCAGCTGTGGACTGCTTCTCAGAAGCCCTGGTCTGGACACTCCTGGTGGGGCTGTGCTGTCCTTCTGGAGGCTGTTCTTCACCATGGTAATATTTCATGTGGTAATGCAGCAGCTTTGCTTTACGGAATGACTTTGTGCAGCCTGGAGCGCTGCACTTGAATGGGTTGTGGTCAAGATTAATAGAAAGGACYGGAGGAGGCTGGTTCTTGATGACTCTGTACACTAAAACAAATGACGTCAGAGAAAAGTGAGTGTCTAAAACAAAGTATATAAAAAGTGTCAGAAATAAGAGATTCATTTTTAGGCACACTCACGTGGCTCTCTGCTGAACCTGTTGGGGTTGTGGAAGCCCTGCTTCCTAACCGCTATAAAAAAAATAATAAAAAGATGTCTACTTTAACACACAGTTTAYTGCATTAATCACATAATTTATTTTACAGTTCAAAAGATGCACCGACTGACTAGTTTGCTTCATTGATACTCACGTTTTACAGGTTGAGGAGGCGGTACGTCTGCTGGCGGCTGAACGCTCTCTGATTGGACGCAGGGCTTCTGTTCATCACCACTGGGTTCTGCGGTTGTCGTAGCGACAGACTCCTGCTCCGTTTTCACCGAAGCCTTACTCTGCAGCTCCGCATAYGGCATGGGTGACTCCGTAACTGGTTGTACTACACTCTGTTCCGACTCCATCTCCTCCTCCTTCACRTCTCCATTCACACGGCAGGTTTCTTCATTTTGCTCGTAATCGTTTTCAACCTTCCCGCCATTTGTGAGTCCTGTCCTTTTTTCTGCATCAGGACTGTTCTGCTCAGCATCACCAGAGAGGTCTTCCTCCTGCTTGATGTGCGCAGCCTCCAGCATCCCGTTTGTTTTCTGACTTTTGCCATTGACCATGTCCTCTTCATGCTCCTCGTCCTCGCTGTTGCTGTCCTCTTCCTGGTCTGAGGTGCTGCGCCTGGCTCGCTTGGTTTTGGGACGCCCATTCTCATGAGGCCTTCTGTCCCTACGATTTGGAATCCTCTTTACCATATTTTTATCTGAGGACCGGGATCTCCCTCCAGCACCACCTCTCTGTTAGCAAAAAAGAGGAAATTTAGAAAATAAAAGAAACAGCCACAACAATCAGACTGAATAATAACACCTTAATAAAATTACAGGTACCTCTTTAATAAAAGGCTTCACATGCATTCCCTTCACTGTTTGGATCACACCGTCATAGAATTTCACTGTGTATGAAGCTGAAGAGACAGAGTGAAATGTTAACATGTCATGTTTTACACATATAGTACAGCTGTCTTAGATGTTATGCTTCCAACTACTGTACTTTGATAAAGAATTTTATCCATAATTATTATATATACCTACCATCTTTATTGACTGAAATAACTTTAGCAGGGTAGAAACGGCAGTCGGACCAGCTGGCCAAAACCTTGTCATTTATGTGAAAGCCCTGGAGGAAAAAAACATCTTAGCACAAGCTGCAGGCAAGCTGTCAAACTTTTATAAGAGGTGGAGCTGTCAGGCACTTCCAAGATAAGCACTGTGAATGTAGCTTCAATAAATGTTATTAAAAACCTACTCCTCAGAAAAGAAGATGCGACACAGACAAAATGATATACAGCAATGTTAGCTTACAGGTGGAGAGGAGTCTTCATTCAGGCCCTGCCTCCTCAGCTGGATTCTCTCTACAGGTCTCAGATAAGGACTTGTCCAGTCAAACCATTCATCATAACGATGGCTCCACTGACGATAATGAATCAACACTTTCTCATCGTCATAATCAATCTTCTCTATGGTGGCAGCATACCTGTTTGAGAAAATCCAATAATGCGTGATTAAAAAGAGAACAGGAGCAGATTTTATAGTTCAGCTTTTATTTTGAACATGTAACAAAACTGGCAAATATTTAGAAAACAAACTGAACTCAAGTTGCATATGAAACAACTACAGCATTTATGACAAAGGCTTATTCATTCTTGTAATTTAAAAAATTATCTTCGACTATTCCTTTAAAATTATTTCATTTACAGCCTCGACTAAGACCCAATTCTTACTGGATGATGCTCCTGCTACAATGTAAAAAAGACAGATCCTGGATGATCTTTGTAGGACTTTGGCAAGGTATTCTGGTGTGAATTAAAAACTCACTGGACTCCACATCACAGGTGACGCAGTGCATACAACAGTTTTGAGCAYGCGCAAGTGGGAGTGTGTTCAAGACACTGGGCAGGCACACACAGAGTGGCTTGGTCAAGCAGGACTGTTTATCTTGGCCTCATGCTTAGGCTAAAACACCAATGGAGGTAAGGTCAAAGTAACCTAGAGTAGAAGTAACGCCCATGGCGATATAACAGTACTACTATTSTAGTCTGATCTTATAGTATTTACTTCAATATGAGAGGGAAGGGCTCTAGAGTGTGACCAATGTGGTCACAAATGTGACCCCATTTCCCAATACACTTGCGTGCGTCAATTGAAAGTGATTACAAAAAAACTATCCTGTAAAACTGCTATGTTAAATGCGACGCGGTTGAAAATTTGAGTGCCCCTAAGAAAAAACGTTGGTCACACCGGTGCAACAAGTTAGTCTAGAGCCCTGGAGGGTTGTTCCAGAGTGGGCAAATTTTGGTAAGAGTGTCAATTGAGAATGCAGAATAAAGATGATTAAAAATCAGTTTGGCAAGTACTAAAGCCAGGACTTTAATGTGCTGCAGCTGCTGGTGACTAGTTGGTGAAAACATTTGCGAGGGAGTTCTCAATTTCTGTGCCTGAGTCACAGAGTTCGTAGTCTTGTTGCTCCAATTTTAAACATGTTCAAAAAAATGTGTGTAAGTAAACAACTAAAGAGTCCTTGGGGGCAAGTCCAACCCATCTGAGAGCACTAGAGTTGTAGTTTAACACCTGTATGCTAGGGCTGTGTATTGGCAAGAATTTGGCGATAAAATACATATCATGACAGAGGGGTCACGATACGATATATCCCGATAAATCCCGATATATTTCGATACTGTAAACAAGGCGATATATTGCGATATTTTTGGTCCAAAAATTCTATTAAATAAAAACCTCTTACTGGCAAAAAACCCCTGAAAAACCAAAATTCATTGTCTCAGAAAATTCTAATATTACATAGACATGCTTTTGATACATTTAGCTGTGTTCTGCTTTGTATGTGTTTTATTTTATTTGTTTCATATTTCATCCATGTTTTCAATTATTAGATTAAATTTGCCAATAAATAGTTTGAAAATATAAATTTTGCAGCTTTTCGTTTTTAATATTAATTTACAATTTGGTCACCCAACACTTAACAATAGTCTTTATGTTGTCATAAAGTTCAGTAAACAGATGATATGAAGCTGCTGCACACAGAGTTTCTGGGATCAGCTGACCTGCATCCAGAACCTGATTTGCATAACTGTGGGTCGAACAGCAGGGCAGGTCCCGAAGAAAACCAGTTAAGAAATTGAGAAGCTAAACGAGTTAAATTGTTTTTGAAGCGAACACAGCAGGATAAAGTATATGGACTTTGATGCGATCATCAGCCAGACATTAGCTATGTTTAATGCACAAATTTTTTAAATCTGATTTAAATGTATTCAGATTAAATAATCCGAATGTACTGTTTACATGGACACAATCCGATCATGAAAAGTGTTTACATGCACCGGAGTTTTATTCAGAATAAAAGTCCGGACATGCGCAGTGTTGTAAAATTTCAGCTCTACTTCTGTGTTACAAACGTAAACAACGCTCCTCTGTGCGCTCAGGACGGACCTGCGTCAGCTTTTAATACCAGTAGAGACGTCTTTACTCCTCGGTTGAGCTGCAGCCTGCAGATGAAGCAATACGTGCTTTTTATTTTTTGCGAAGCAACGTCTGCTGTTTGTCTCCTTTTTCATCTGTTAAGGGAGGCGCTGCTGTCCCACCGGGTGAATGAAAGTCAGCAGACATGTGCGCACAGGTCAGTTTTCTACAATCAGAATAAGATGATACATGAAAGTCATTCCAATTATCAATCGGCATAACCCACCCTTTTCATTCAGATTAAAAATTCATTCGGCTCAAGCTCAATCGGATCAGAATAATCGGAACGGGCTGTTTACATGACACATTTTTATTCCGAACGGCTGTTTAATCCGATTAATTTTTTCCATGTAAACGTAGCTATTGAGAGCAACAGACAGAGTTTTATGTCACGGGGGGAGTGCCGAGCTCGCTCAAGGTGATAGACGCATGCGCTATATGCGTAACGTGAAAGCTGACTACAGTTGGAAAAAAAGAGCACACAAGACACTTAATTTGTCTTAAAATACAGACATTCTGACAAATCAGTAACTGTTTGTAACCTTACCTCAGCTTAGAAGGCAGAGGGTGTCGGTCTTTTCTGCTCAGATTCAGCTATCGGAGCATGAAGCTAATGTTTACTTACAATGCTAATGCTCTCTTACTCTCTGGCGCTCAAGAGGTAGAGGAGCCAAATGTCTGGCTCACTGCTGCCAACTAGTGGTCAGAGGCTGAACTACAACATAAAAAAGGAACGGCTGGCAGGAAAGTTGACATTTTAAACCTTAATAAAAAATCGATACAGGGCTTTARAATATCGATACAGTATCGGGAAATGAAATATCGCAATATTTCAGTGTATCGATATTTTCTTACACCCCTACTGTATGCAGCTCTCATCTGAAAGGAAACAAGTCGAGAGCTAAAAAGCTCACTAATGAAACAAGATTTTTTTTTAATTGTTGAAATCTGTTTACCTTTTTTTTAAACAGTCTACTCTATGAGATTCAATCATAAACGTGGAGGCAGCTCCCAAGGTGGGCACAAAGCAGGCCAAAGTGAGTGTCAAGTAGCCGAAGAATAGTTTTGTTCCAGCAAGATTTAGAATACAGTTTTGCTACAAACACAAAAATAAACTTTATTTTTTTAAATCAGGCTGTACAAAACATGGTTGCATTTGTCACTTAGTTGCAAACACTCAAATATTTCAGAAACTGCTAATGAAATTTAGCTTCTTTTTGAGACACCAACTAATCTCCAGCAGTTGCAGCCTGATGAGATTCTGAGTTTGAGTTTAGCAGTGTCATGATTGCTTTTACAGTGAAGGATGTTTTCCAAATTTACCACAACCCAGCCCCATCTAAAAGGTTGTGGAGAATCTAATGAGGTTGTCATCCAGTGTGAAGTGGGTCTAACTAATTTTTAAAAAAAGCTTGGAGAACAATGAACTAATAAAACAAACATAATGAACTTAATAAAAATACATATTCCCATGGCATTTAGGGGTTGAAATAACAATAAATTATCTTTTAAAACAGCATGGGGTTTATGAGGGGATCCCTAGATTCATTTCATCCTTGTAAGGAGTCCCCAGACCCAAACGGCTTGAGAACCCCTGGTCTAACTAACTGACATTATCCAGCATCAACAATTCATTTATAGTGCATAGTATACATGATAAGAATCAAAGAGATTAAAATATAAAAGTAAAAACACTGACCAATTGATTGTCTTAACACTAACTCAAGTCATAGTTGAATCTGATTGAAACGTCAGAGTTTACAATCATAAATGGACAGTTTTCTTGCAGAAAAACAGTGAACCAATGAATATCCAATTATTCTTTTCCCTCTACCTATCGGAACCTAACCAACACCAAGGGAAAAAAAGAAATGTATGAAAATTTATGTGAGAAAATGAGGGAAGTAAAGCAGAATGTGGATGGAGAGGAATGAGTGAGGCCATGACTCACCAGTTTTTGAGGCTGTCTCTGGCTTCAAGCTGAGCTCCCACCTCAAATGTTATCCCTCTTCTGTTAGGGGGCGTCTTACTCATACTGCCCACATCAAGGCTGCCTCCCTGTACATACACATACACATTAACCAGAATGCACACTAATGAAAAACTAGACTCATTTAACCTTGGTTATGCCATAAAGAGACAAGTGTGTCTGACAAAGAACACAACATGTGACCTGTCAAGGTCTTCACTGGTAGTTATTTACAAAAATAATTACTCTGGTGTCAGTTTACAGATTATAGGAAGAAAAAAATCAGTGCTTTCATTCTAAGTGACTCTGAGAAAAAGGAAGTAAGACACCTCCCTTTACAACGGTGGAACATTAATACTGTCCAGAATGGGAAAAACAAGTTCCTCTGTAAACCACAGATTACACACATAGTACAGCATGGTACTAGAGTGGAAACTGACATTTTAGAGGTGAGCCATGCCCCTGAAATGGTGGTGAATGTGTACTCAATACCAAATGTTGAGTATTAAGATATTCAAATGAGCATATGTGGTAGAAGAGACCTCACAGATACAATTAAAGGCCCCTTTATCAAAATTATCAACATGACAAAAACCTTTAACACTATACTTAATGATTAAAAAAACAGACATCAAATAATCAAAGACCCCAGTCTATCTACTGACTCAAAGCAGCCACCCCCAGGCAATTATGCACCAAGATAATCCTGGAGTGATCAAACAAAACACTGAATAACTTGGCTCCTAATACACTCATTTATCAGAGGTTTGCTGCTATTCTGTGTCTGGGATGGAGGCCTTTATTAAGCTCTTCAAATCGTTAAGGAAAAAAAAACAAAAAACGAAACAGCATCATCCAATCCCTGCGTCTTTTATCAAGCAATCGGCGCAGATGACCGACTAGCACATCGGTAGTCTTAACTAACATCTAAACATTATCATTACCTGATCACAGCATCTTTCTCGGTTCGGAGCTGCCTGACTCGGTTCGCCATATCGGAGGCTGGCTTTCTTCAACGCAACACCCTGCAACCTACAAACCGGACGTCTCCACGCTCCGCTCGGCCCACGTGTTTCTGCCCAGCCGATTTCACGTCAAGACAAAAGACTTTTATTATAACCAACCGTCACGTGTGCTACATCTATATTACCAAATTAATTATTTTAACCAGTAAAAAAAAAAACACTATTTAACTGTTTAACTATTTAATCTGTTTTTCATTTTATTCATGCAGACACAAACATGACAGTCAAGAAATGAAAAATCGAGTTCAGGATGACATATTTGATGTTATATTTCTAAGTTTAACAGGGAAGCCACGCACKGGAAATGTATTACTTATTTTTTTATAATACTACTACTATAAACAGGCAACCGAACATGATACGCACACATTTTTCCAGCCAAATACATTAAGATAGCTTGGTAGTCGTATTGTAGCGGAAAACACAACATGAAAACGTTGTCTAAACAAATTCCGTGTAAGCTATTGTTGATCAATTTCCACCTCTTCCGACACTTTATTGTCCGGTGTTTTATAACCACAGGGCGTAGCGCGAGAGAAGCTGAGCTTTACGTCAGGGGTTTAGGAAAACATGATTGGTCGAACMGCAGCGAAGTGGGCGGGAGCTTCCATTTGATTGGACGCGAAGCTTGACACTCAAGAGGAGCTCTCGGAGCTTTCTGTGGCCTCGCGCTAGGGCCTTCCTCTCCGTACTTTTCCTACTGTGACCGAGCGGCGTGGAAACACGGGCAGCAAACTTCACGAACTGAGAAACGTAAGAGATATTTACAGTACCCAAGCATAAAAAACAATTAGGAAACTACAAGTAGGCAAGTAACTAAACAAACAGAGCTAAGAAGTGAACCACGGGAGCGTTTAATCACCGACTTCGTCACGTTTGTTTTGAACTCTCAACGACGGACATGCGGCATGTTATGCATTACATCAACCGGGCCTGACTCACCGCAATAAAACTAAGAAACGCTACGCACGAACGGGATTTGAGCTTCTTACCTGTTTCCCAGTTACTCTTTAACAAACTGGTAGAAAATTTTGCAGCGTAATCCTGTAAATGCGCAGATACCGCCRCCTCCGCCTGTCTGCTCCAGACCACGCAGTTGAATTTCTCTCAGTTCACCGGCGCGGGCAATGTAGGACGGAGCTGCGCACGCGCGTCCGACAGACCTGTGTATGTCAAGAACTTCTGTAAAAACAAGTTTCCTTCAGAATCTAAAACTGAAAAATGGTCGAATTACCTTTTTTAAAATAAGCTCTTCTTCGAATTTTATGCACTGATGATGTATACTTCTCTAAGTATCGAAAAGGTAAATAAAATAAATTTACTAACCTAAAACTAATCATAAGTATGTAAAATTCCTGTCGCTTTAAAACGCATTTCAATGCAACACAGTAACAATCACGCCTACAACAATCAATGGTAGATTTTAAARCAAATATAAATAAACGAATAATGATCTAACAGTATGGACAAACAAATTTGTACAATTTATATTTTATTAATTATTTAATTATATAAACAGCCACGTCATGTGTATAGAGGAACTCAAGCTGTGTAAAAAAACCTTTTTGTTTATTATGAGCTGATATAAACATTATTTTTGTTTTCTAAGTAATTTAATGCATTTAAATCAATTGGCTTTGTTCTTAGCTGTTTTCTTTAAATTTTCTCAGGTGCAGCCACCCTCTTCTGGACAGCTTTTTAAAGGATTTACACAAAGTGACATGTGAAGCACGTAGCAGTTTGCRGCGTGGTGTGCATGAGACCCAGTCTGACAAATAGAGATTAGATAAGAGGCTGATGTATCAGAATAAGGACAGGCTACACAAAAGGCCTGTTTTTGATAACCCTTTCTTTCTCCATGAGTCATACACCTGTAAACATTGTCTACAGCTGCTACAATAACATGTTTATTTCCATTACAAATTCATACCATTTAAAACACTGCGAGTAACATTTCAAAATCAAGACTTAGAATCTACTCAAAGTAAAAGCCTTTATTTAAAAAATGAACTTAAATCTTTATATTTTTATGCTACAAAATGAAGTTAAATGTTCTTTTTTAATGTTCATCAGTACAAGTTTAGGCTTTTGTTCAAGACCTACCAGTTTTATTAGGTGGGTGATAATGTTTTTGTCMGTGTCTGTGTGTCAGCAAAATGTCAGCAGATAAATTAAATTTTTCAGAAAGTGATCATGGCTGTATGTCAAACTGAGTAACTCGGAGTCAACCCAAATTAAGATGCATTTATTCACATTATCAAACTTAATGATGGCTAACTCAGCTAATTTTACAGATATTGAGCTAAAATTTGAAGTAGTAGCTGATAACACACACATTATTTTTAAGGTTTGACCAAAACAGCTAAACCTTTCAATACCGTGTCAAGTTTTGTCCAACACTAAAAATGTCTAAGCTGAAGATGCTGTAACCCTATTTTAGCTGCATCTATACTGTAAAACAAGTATATAACCTATATGAGAAATTCTTTTTATAACAAAAGTTTCATAGGTCAGTATAATTTATCTAAAACATTGTAGTGTAACAGATAATTTCAGTCCAAAACTGTCCTTAAGGTCAGCAGGTGATAAGCAGTTCCATAAGGAGTTCTGGGCTTTTATTTTGTAGGTGTTCTACTTTTCATTTCCTGTGGCTACACCTCCAGTTAAAATAAACACAAGACAATTTACCAACAAATGAACCAACTTTTATTTATGATCAGCCATTCCAGATAAGACAAGTCTGCAAACACACACACACACACACACACACACACACACACACACACACACACACACGTGGAAAGTGGTTTGAATTATTTTTTTGTTCAAATAGCAAGAAGTTACAGCAGGAAAAAAAATAGTTAATCCCTGTACATATATTTTTATTGCTCTTTCCAGCAACAGATGCTCCCCTATAAACTGTATTATTAGCATACTGAATGAATGTTAGTCTGTTACACACAGAATTTATTTACAACAGGAAACACCCAAAGCGCAATTTACAAGCATGTAGTGATGGACAAATGAACAACTTTCATCTAACTGAGTCTTTAGTCTGTGACGGGCCATTTACACCATAAACCTTTTTTTTTTTACAAGACCTGAGCGCACACACACACACACACAAAAACTCCAATCAAAATAATTAAAGATAACAGAGAGAGAGTACAATTAGTTGAATACCCAGCCTCCCACATTGCAACTTAAACCAAAGTACAATAAACTCTCCCGTTGACGTCAGAGAGGACTTAAAAACAAATACAATCACTCAAAACTAAATAGAGCTTTTAGTACATCGTCCCAGTTGTGCTTTGAAATATGGATTCTCATACAATAAAGTATGAGAAAACCAGCCATTACAAATACCCCAAATAGCACAAGCAAGCTTTAAAGATACAATTACAACCTATTTTAAGTTCAATTCTTTATTTTACTATACATTAAAAAAGTCGCCTTTTGTTTGCACTGACAACCACACACGCAAACACACATGCTAAAAAAAATCAAAAAGCCATCAACTCTGCTTAAATGAGCATTTTTGTATTGCAGGAGAACCTTTCCCAACCAAAGTTTAACTATAGCAACGCCCCTTTAATAAAACATAAAGGGTTAACCTGTGTTCCCAGGCTACAGTGAGGATACAGCCAAAGAGCAGACGCTGCATTTCAGTATCAAAAACAGTAAAGTGAAATATCTCCTCTCTCAGTAAGAAAACAGAGGAGCACGTGGCCTGAAGTCCAAGCTTTTTAACTCCTCGTACACCAAGTGTAAGTTATCACCGTGACGGGTTCCAGTGTGGTCTAAACAGAGACAGTGTTGATGCTGGATTGGAAATAAGAGAACTGATCTGAGTGTAAACAGTCTACACCACACCCTCGATGAAGCCCGTGTCCAGGTGAACGATGAGCATCCTCAGGAAGGACATCTCCTTGCGCGTGTTCTCGAAGATGATCCGCGGGTCGTCCGACTGACACCGCAGGCAGTTGGGAGCCATCACCATGGCCAGGTTGTTCACGTCCATCTTGGTTATGGCAACGTTGGACGGCTGAGCGAACACCTGGAGGTGGTCGGGGCGAGAGGAGAGGAGAAGGAATGAGAACGGCTCAACTCGTGCTCAGACTGACCTTTGACCTGCAGTAACTCACGAGTCCGTTGATTAAATGCTGAGGCAATAAAAATTAGTCCTGGAGCACGGATATTTAAAAAGGCCTCAATTTGAGGTTTTTTTTGTTTTGTTTGTTTGTTTGTTTTTTACAAAGTGATAAGCAGCCAAAAGTAGCTGCAAAACAAGTTATTAAACAAGTTGATGAATTACAATGAATGACTCTACCTAGTTTAACACTGAAGGTTCTGAATTACTCTTCCTGAATTATTTTAATCTACTGATCAAACCTGTGATGTTACTAAAGAACTGTCAACAAGTAGATTAATCAAAGAAACTAATTAAACAGCTGACGCCTGGCCCAGGTTGCAGTAAATGTACTTTTTAAATTATCATTAATTGTGGATAAAATTAATTACATGATATTTAATAATAGAAAGAGAATTATTGATGTTCCCTTTACAGTTGATGGTGTTGAGATTTGCCGTCAGTGAGGTGAAGTTTCTGGGTGTTAATCATTGATGAAAAGCTGACATGGAGACCTCACATAAATTATTTAGGAACAAAAAATAGATAAAACTATTGGAGTACTGTATAAAGTAAGGGAGCTATTCAATGATAAAGTTTTGTATATGTTGTAWAATGTAATAACTGTTGATATATTGAAGTCTGAGGGAAAGCATGTAAAACAATTATAAATCTGATTCTTGTTTTACAGAAAAAAGCTGTTGTGTACTTGTGTATGTACTTTTTTATTCTTGGGGAAAAGGAGGAAGATATACTGTATAAGACATTTTTCTTCTTTCTGCTGCCTGTCATTTTATTATTTATTTATTTTATTTATTCTGTTGTGTATAGAGTTTTTTAATGAAATGAATAAATTTAAAAAATGCACTGTTTAACAACAATATATATTTGGACTTTGATCGACAGTACTGTAGAGAGATCCAGACTGGACCAGAGCTTTAATACATCAGTTCTGACTGTAAAATAAATACTCTCCTGCTGTCAACAAACAGCATTGCAACAACATTGCTCTGTTTTCAGGTGAAAATGAAGACACCCAAACCAGTGGTTATTCCGTATGTTGTGGGTGTTTCGGAGAAACTGACGTTTATTTTCTAAACATAATGTCTCAGTGGCTTTCAAACCCCAAAACACATTACGGCAAAGGCTGGTTCACCCCAAAGATCCGGTGCCCCGGCACAAACAGAGCAATATTGTATATGCTGTTAAGTGCCAGGAGGACTGCGACCAGTTTTACATCGGGGAAACAAAGCAGCCACTGTTCAAAAGAATGTCCCAACACAGACGAGCTAMNTCTAATGGCCAGAACTCTGCAGTTTTCACTCATTTACAGGCCAGCGGTCACTCTTTCAGAGATGAGGATGTTCTCATTCTTGATAGAGAGGAACGTTGGTTTGAGAGAGGAGTAAAAGAAGACATTTTTGTGAAAAAAGACCGTCCATCATTAAACAGAGGTGGAGGCCTCCGTTTTCAGTTGTCCCCCTCCTACAGAGCGGCCATTGCCAGTATCACTCCACCCCCTGTTAACAATAGGTGTTAATTAGGTGTCAACAATAGCCATGTGATGTGAGTATCAGTCACCTGGAGGCAGGGCTTAAAAGCCTGAATTTTGCCTGAAACTCTCAGACTGAAGAAGTCTCTTGGAGGAGAGACGAAACGTTTTTAGAGAAGAACCCGTATAGAAGACCTATACAATTTTTTTCTTTTTGTGTGTATGTGATGTTAAYATGATGTKAAARAGAARACTGYGTGGTGTCGGTTACCTGCAGGAAGTGGATGAAGTAGCACAGAACCAGCCTGCTGAGCTCAGGCAGGGATTGGACCACGGCGATGGCAGCCACCGGGTCGTCACAGTTACTGATGCACTGCTTGTAGAAATTCATGGGGATGAGGGGCTCCTCCAGCTCACGATACCACAGTTTCATCAAAGAGGCTTGTTGTAAAGGAGACATTATGTTAATACACACATTTAAATCTCTGTTCTTAAAAAATAATAACTTATCGTACCAGGTACGTTGGGATCAGACAGATTCTCTGGAATCCTCCACTGGTCCACCTGGAGCTTCAGTGCGTTCACTTCATCGATGTCTCCAGGCACTCTGAAAACACAACATGTACACTGAGTGGCCACAAGAGGGAGCTGTACYCTCACAGATTCTCCATATGCACCGCTCACAGTGCTCAGTTTTCTGTTTGGTTATGYGTTCACTCTGTGATTGTTTTTGATTTCAAAACACTCTCCAGTAAAGTCCCGACGCAGAAGAAGGAGTTTCACAGCGTGTTTGATGGAAGGGAACAAATTTCTAAACAAGTGGAGAAGCTCCAGAGTCTGCTGGAGAACACCCTACACAAACACGCTGCTCAGAGGCTCCCACATGTTTGTAGGCTTAAGCTGAAATGTAAACACATATCATGAAGTATCAAATTAAGCAGCGCTGCTCCCAGGAGCAAAGCAGGGCTGTGTTTGTTCTGTCAGCTTTGTGTACTGTACACACGGGAAGATTACACAGAAATAAAGAGGAACAGATGACCACACCTTTCTATTCAAAATATGCGCACAATAAAAGCATATGTACTTTGTGAGATCCCTCTTTAATTTGCTAGGCTGCACCTCCACCTCCCTGCTGGAGTTGAGGCACGTCTTAAGCTGAGTTGGGAGCATCTTACCTGAAGATGCCCTCGGTTTGAGCCCCACCCAGAGCCAGAACATACTGGGACAGCTGGACCTGCACCCAGGGCAGCTTCCTGTCTGGGAAGAGCTCGCTTTGCCGTTCCATCACTTCCTCCAGAGAGCTGCCAAACAGCGAGGGGGTGAGGATGGCCCGTCTGCTGTGGTCGATCTCCTCCAAGGTGGGCTTACGCAGACCCTGGAGGGGGACAGGTAAGCAGGAGAAGATTTACTACCCACAGTTGTCAGGGATAATGGTACTAATCATGGCTGTGTCTGCAGCTGCACTGCTATGACTGGATCTGTGTTTATGTCTCTACCTGTGACTGTGTCAGCAAACCTACAATTACATCCCCCCCATGTGATGGTACCCAGAATGACTCACTGCAGATACTCAACCCTCAAACTCACATTCTACTGACATCATATAGGAGGGGAAAATACCCTTGAAATGAGAATAAAAACTCCTTGAATTCTTGATTAATTTTATTWTAATCTACAAAATTAAACTATGACTCAAATATGTTTAGAACATTTAAAAAAAAAAAAGGTACTGTTTTATAAAAAAAAAAATAGTTGCAAAAACATTAAACAAATAAGGCAAAGCCTGTCTTATCTGTTTTTGTTCTCCTAACCACTGATCAGCCTCGTCTGCAGAACCCTCCCCTCAATCTGTTGCGCTGGTTGTGGTGGTCACAGTTCAGCGTTGCAGCTTTTACAGTAGGGTTGGGCAATATTGGCAAAAAAAAAAGAATCATGATGAATTGTGGTATTTAGTCGATAACGATTAATTTGACGATTAACCCCATGGACACCCTTATGTCCTAGTCACATGACCAATTTAATGGTAAAGATTTGCTCTTCGGAAAAATCTGTTCCAAATTGTGTCAAAATTACAGACTTCAGGCTATACAGTAAATTTTAAATTGTGTTGATAGATAAATAAATTACAGAACTTTTTTTTAATGCTTGTCATATTTGAAGCAGAGGAGCACTGAGTGGACTCTGCCTGGTGGTATTAATCGTCAAGTGCCAAAAAATAATCRATTAATGTTTTTCTGACRATTAATTGCACACGATACGATGATACGATACGTCCAACCCTAATTCACAGTTAACTTTGCTTCTTTCCAGCCTGTCGTCAGGAAGAATTTAAAAATAAAAATGCCTTGAAGAATCTGGTGACTTCCTCCATGTTTCTGTTCTGGCTGCTCGGGTGAGCGGCTACRCATTGCCACACAACGGCTCGACAACAAAGGCTCTCATTGGTTGAGACGTGACATTTAAAGCCAATAGTGATAAAGATCCTGCCCACTCACTGTGACCACTGGGTTTGTGTGTGTGTGTGTGTGTTCACAGCCAGTGAACAGAGACAAATATAAATAAATAACTGCATTAATGCACATTTTAAATAAAACTGCGTTAATGCACGTTAAGGCTGCATGGAGCACAGATCCACTGAGAAACTTGCTGTTTCAGCGACATTTAATTTAAAAACTGTACTTTTGAGGTTAAACAAATGTTCATAATTAACTTCAATAAGTTACAAATTAA